TGCACAGATTTTCCTCACTTCACCCAGGTGGAAATGGGTACCTGGCTATAGACAGTGAACGATCTTGTCAGTTTGATAGTGTTTGAGCGCGTGAAATCCCCAGCTTGCACTGTATGCTTCCCGGGAAGCTGAGAAAGTTTATGTGTGTTCTCAGAGGGTCTGCTGGGGTAATAATAGTTGTAAAGCGCATAGAGCACACTCTTGAGCATGGATATGCGCTATATAAATGCAATTATTATTATTATTATGTTGCCGGTTAATTCGGCCAAAAACTGTCAAACTGTATAGACATTAAACTTGGGTGGGGTTTTTGTGGATTTTTAAATTTACTTTTTGTTTTGTGTGTTTGTTGGTTTGTTTTTTAGTTGCTTTTTTGTTGTTGCTGTTGTTGTTGTTGTTGCTGTTGTTGTTGTTGTTGTTGTTGTTGTTGTTGTTGTCGCTAGTTTTAGTTTTATTAGTTTGTATGTTCCTTTGTATTGGGTTGTAATTTTTGTTTGTTTGCTTGCTTCATTGTTTGTAGGTATGTTTCTTTGTTTGTTTGTTACTGCTGGGTTTTGTTTTTAGGGGGCGGGGGTAGTTGGTGGTTGAAATGGAAACAGTTGAACATTTTCGATTAAAGCTCAGATTTTGTGGGATTGGATCAATGAAATAGCACTGACTTCCTGTTCAATACAGACGTCCTTCCGTCTGGTCACGTCAACCCCCACCCCACCCCACCCCCTCACCCCGGTGTTATTTATACACTGGAAAGTAATATATCTCTCTCAATCGCACGATTCAAACATCTCAACCCTTCCCCAAACAAACTTCACAAAAATATACAGCTTAAGCTTCTGATGGCCCACCAATCACAGAGGATTAGCGAACTCACAAACATCCTTGCCCATTGATAGAGTTGTGTAAACACACGTGAAAGACGTGCATTTTTGCCTCCCCCAGATATATATACATATTATGGGTATTTGGGGGACGACAGTTTTACAGTTGAAGCAGATTATTTTTTTTATATGCCGCTAATCTCTCTACTTTCATTTCGCTTCGTTCTTGGGGTTTCGTGCGTGCCCAACTGACAGACATCAGCCAACATCTGCTGCTGCTTCACGTAAACTTATTAGAATGTTCGGTTGTGACTAAGACAAAGGGAAAAAACAGAAGCTGGGTGGTGGATATAAATGGTCGCTTTTAAGGACAAGCGGGCTAATCCAGAATTCGGGGGTTTCCTGAAATCTTGACCTACAGCAAAAGTGGGCCTAGCCTTACCTATAGAAGAAGTTTGGTTTCGTTGGTATTTATATCTGTTTGGTTATAGAGAAACTTCTCCTTGTCTTTTAAAGAAACTGAACGAGGGGCAAAAACTTTACCTTCGATTTTCTCGAAACAGCATTTTTTGGGATAGCCTCCTTGTGCTTAAAAGCGACCATATATCTGCAAGAACCCCGCCTCTCGAGATAATTCAAACAAGCGGACACGGCGGTCAAGTTTCAATCCGAGTAAAAAACAAAACAACAACAACAACAAAACCAAAAAAAACCCTCTGTTTATTCCAATGTCAGCAACATTTGTCCGATAAGAGAAATATTGTGAAAGTCATTCAACCCTGATATTTACAATACTCTTCAGACTTCAGGTTGAGACGTTTCCAGTCTGTCATTTCAGTCTCGGCTTGGTTTTGTGGGGGGGGTTTAGTTTTAGTAGAGGTTTTACAGCGCTCGCAACTGCATAAGGTCATATGAGCGCCTGTTTGTTTTTCTATATAATTATTTTATTTTTATTTTTCCTTTTTTTTTTTTTTGCTTTTTTGTTTTGTTTGTTGATTTTTGTAGTTGGGGTTTTTTTTGGTCGTTGTTACTGATGTGATTATTGGGGGAAGCAAGAGAGTTATATGATGTGTCAATTGCCCCGACACCCGGTGGCCTTGGCTTGATTGTTGCCAGATTCCCATTGGAAGGTTTTTGTTTGTTTTTTTAGCTTTTGTTCTGGTTTTGTTTGGTTTGGATTGTTTTGTGTATTTGTTTGTTTGTTGTTGTGTGTGGTTTGTTGTTTGTTTGGTTTTTCTTTTTGTTTGTTGTT